TTTAAGTCACTAAGTTTGACTTTTCATAACCGTTAATGGGATGGAGGATCATCAAAAGGGACTGAGGTAGCTCCCTCCTTGATTGCATTGACCAGATAAGGCTTCAGCCTTTGCCCATTCACAAAAAAACCGTTTCCATCTTTTCCCTCAAGGAAAACAGCCCCATAGCTCCTCACCTCCAAGATCTTGAAAGGGCCAGACCACCTTGAATTTAACTTGCCAGGGAACAGCTTGAGCCTTGAGTTAAACAGAAACACAAGGTCCCCTTGCTTGAAATTCCTCTTCAAAATTTTTTGATCATGCAAGGAATTGGTTCTCTCCTAGTAGATCTTTGAGCTCTCATATGCATTAAGCCTTATCTCCTCAAGCTCATAGAATTGAAACAACCTCTTCTCTTGGGCAGCCTTTATGTCAATGTTCAAAAGCTTAACAGCCCATAATGCCTTGTATTCAAGTTCTACAGGCAAATGGCAGCTCTTCCCAGAAAGGAGATTGAATGGAGAAGTGTGTTTTGAAAGTTGTGCTGTAAGCCCACAATGCATCATCCAATTTCTGGGACCAGTCCTTCCTTTATGAGCTCATTGTCCTCTATAGAATGGCTTTGATCTGTCTGTTCAAAACCTCTAACTGACCACTTGTCTGAGGATGATATAGGCTTGCCACCTTATGATTGACTCCATACTTCTTAAGAAGTTCCTCCAACGTCTTGTTCACAAAGTGGCTTCCACCATCGCTTATTACAACTCTAGGCACTCCAAATCTTGGGAAAATGATGGTCTTGAACAGCTTTACCACCACTTTAGCATCATTGGTTGGACTTGCCACAACTTCAACCCATTTGAAGACATAATCCACTGCCACCAGAATATATTGGTTCCCATGTGAAGATATAAAAGGCCCCATGAATTTTATACCCCAACAATCATAGATCTCCACCTGCAAGAATGGATTATGAGGCATCTCATTCCTCTTCGAGATGCTACCAGCTCTTTGGCAAACATCACACCTGATTACAACTTCTTGTGCATCTTTGAACATGCTAGGACACCAAAACCCTGATTGTAAGACCTTTACTACAGTTCTGAAAGCAGCATTATGACCTCCATAGGCAGATCCATGGCACTCCAACAAGATGCCTGGAACCTCTTCCTCAGCTACACACCTTCTGTACAAGTGATCCTTGTTAAGCACATACAAGTATGACTCATCTCAAAAGAACCTCTTGATATCCTTGAAAAACTTCTTTCTCTGATAGTTTCTCATTTTTGGGGGCTCCACTCCACAAGAGAGATAGTTTACAATGTCAGCAAACCATGAAAAATTCCCTTCTTTAATGGACTTGATTTCCTCTAGCTCATTCAAAGCCTTTTCCACCATGAGCTGCTCTTCAGGGAGAAAATCATTAAGAGGGACATCAATTTCCACTCTTAGTCTAGACAAGTGATCATCTACTCTATTTTCAATGCATTTCTTGTCTTTGATTTCCATATCAAATTCCTGGAGTAGCAATACCCATCTCAACAGCCTTGGTTTTGCATCCTTCTTTTTCATCACATATCTCAAAGCTGTATGATCAGTGTAGACCACCACTTTCGACCCCACCAAATAGGACCTAAACTTGTCAAAAGCATATTGCCAACATTTCCTTCTCAGTGGTGGCATATTTCTCCTGAGTTGTGTCCAAGGTCCTACTTGCATAGTAGATGACATGAAGCTTCTTGTCCTTCTTTTGTCCCAGTACAGCAACAACTACAAAGTCTGATGCATCAGTCATGATCTCAAAGGGCAAACTCCAATATGGTGCTTGAACAATAGGTGCACTTATCAGAGCTTGCTTGATCTTCTCAAAAGCTTTAATGCACTCTTGATAAAAAAAGAACTCCACATCTTTGCATAGAAGCTTTGTCAAGGGTCTTGCTATCTTTGAGAAGTCCTTAATGAACCTTCTTTAGAACCCATCATGTCCCAAAAAGCTTCTGACTCCTTTCACTGAATTTGGAACCCCCAAATTAACCATGACATCCATCTTGGCCTTGTCAACCTCTATCCCAGCTTCAGATACGTTGTGCCCCAATACAATGCCTTCTTGCACCATGAAATGGTACTTCTCCCAATTCAGCACCAAGCTTGTCTCCTCACATCTCCTTAGCACTTGAGACAGATTAGACAAACAAGAAGAGAAAGAGGGCCCATAGACGCTAAAATCGTCCATATACACCTCAACTTTCTCTTCTATCAGGTCAGAGAAAATCGACATCATACACCTTTGAAAGGTGGCAGGTATACTACACAGACCAAAAGGCATTCTTTTGTTAGCATAGATGCCATAAGGGCAGGTGAATGTTGTTTTCTCTTGGTCTCTAGGGTCTATTGGAATTTGGAAAAACCCTGACTATCCATATAGAAAACAGTAATAAAGATGATTGGCTAGTCTCTCAAGCATTTGATCAATGAAAGGAATTGGAAAATGATAATTTCTTGATGCAGCATTGAACTTCCTATAATCAATGCACATTCTATGCCTTGTTACAGTCCTAGTGGGTATGAGCTCATCCTTATCATTCTTTACCACTGTCATACCACCTTTCTTAGGCTCCACATGGATAGGGAAAACCCACCTTGAGTCAGAGATATGATATATTATCTCTGCCTCAAGTAGTTTCAGAATTTCTTACTTGACCACCTCCTTAAGGTTTGGGTTTAACCTTCACTGGTGTTCAATGGAGGAGATAGACTCTTGTTCAAGATGGATTATGTGGGTACACAAGTTATGAGAGATCCCTCTAATGTCATCCAGGGAATATCCTATGGATTTTTTATACTTCTTAAGCTCATGCAACATGGCTTTCTCTTCATGCTCTAACAACCTATCATTGATGATGACACGGTATGATGCATTAAGTCCAAAAAAGCATACCTGAGCTCCTTTGCGAGTGGCTTTAGCTCAACAGATGGAGATTTGTATTCATCCCAATCTCCCATGAAACTCTCTTGACCATCCGGAGCTTCATTGCTGTTGGTGTCCTCAGCTGGTCTAGCATCTTCCTCAGCTTCTGAACCCACGGCTATGCACTCTTGAACAGGCCCTTGACTTGTTCTGAATCCATTGATACTCTGATCCACTTGGCCGCTTGTTTCCAGTTCCAAAAGCTGAGTTTCTGACCCTGCTGGCTTGTGAGAATCAAGAAGCTTCATAACCCAAGGGTCTCATCCTCCAAATATCCATACTCACCATGTTCTTGAGTCAAGACAATTTGAAGATGATCTTCAGTGTTCAACTCTTCAAGAAGCTCATCAGCAAGCTCCTTCATGGCTTCTATATAGAACACATGACCCTCAATGGTAGGTTTCTTCATAGCTTCATTGGCATCAAACTTGAGGACCTCTGATCCTAGATGGAGATCTATCTTTCCTCCTCTCATATCAATTATGGCTCCTGCTGTAGCAAGGAAAGGTCTCCCTAAAATGAGAGGATCTACAGGCTCTTTATCCATCTCCAAGACAATGAAGTTAGTTGAGACTTCAAAATCTCCAATTTTAACAGGTAGATCTTCAAGGAGTCCGAATGGGGAGCTTAACTGATCTGTCAGCTAGTACCAAAGATATCTTTTCTGGTTTGTAGACTGTGAACTCCAACTTCTTTGCAATTAAGAAAGGCATTAAACTCATTAATTCTCCAAGATCACATAAGCATCTGGCAAACTTAATAGGACCAATAGTGGAGGGCAATGTAAAGCTCCCTAGATCAGATATCTTCCTAGGGATTATCCTTCTCTGAATTATTGCACTACACTCATGGCTTAGGACCACCATTCCTTGTAGTTCTCTCGACTTGTTCAAAATAGCATCCTTTTTGAACTTTCCAAGTTGAGGAACCATAAAGAAAGCTTGTATGATATGCATGGTGAATTGAGTCTTCTCCAATTGCTTTTCAAAGATAGCTCTAGCCTTATCTAGGAGTTGCTTCTTGAACCTTCCTGGAAATGGTTTCTCAGGCACCATCTCCTTTGACACACCTTTTCCTTTGTCATTCTTTACAGCTTCATCATCAGGTTCACTCCCTTGAGGCACCTCCCCACCAAGTTGCTCATTGTCCTCAATGAGCACTGGTCTTTGTTCTCTTTCTGGTAGCTCCTTGCCACTTCTGAGGGTAATGGCATTGGCATACTCCTTTGGGTTTGGCTCAGAATTCCTAGGAAGTGTTCCTTGTTGTCTAGAAGAAGAAGCTTGATTCTTTTGAAGATTTTTCAGCTGATGTTGCATAGCTTCATACTTTGAACTCAGATCAGTGAAACTGTTCTCCCTGAAGTATCTGCTGAAAAACCCCATCTAAGTATGGACCCATCTTCTGACCCTGCTGCTGCTGTCCAAAATCTGGTGGAAACTTGTTCATTGGCGGCTGACTAGTGAAGTTACCACCCTGATTCTGCTGAGGTTGCTGAACATATTACTCAGGTTGCTGAACATAATGCTGCTTGCTCTGAAAATTCCCTTGAATCTGATTCTTGGGAACATAGCTTTGCTGAGCTTGTTGAGAGGGATAGACCTGATCTCATGGATTAGCTACATTTAGATTTCTGTATGACAAGTTTGGATTGTGGTAGTTGTTATACCTCTGAAACTGTTTCTGATTTCCAATGTAATGCAGTTCTTCTTGTGTTAATCCCTCCTCATTCACATTCTCAAAGCAAGGAGTTTGTTCATCATAATCTCCAACAAAATGCATTCGCTTCTGAGTAGCCACTAGTACCTTATCCAACTTGCTCTGTAACTCCTTGATATCTTTTCTCATCCTGTGTTCTTCACAAGAGCCTTCTCCTCTATTGGCTCTGTCATAGTCCTCTTCATAGGTGTCATTACTCATAGCCAATTTCTCTACCAGCTCCATTGCTGCATTGATTTCTTTGGCAAGAAAGTTGCCATTGGAAGCTGTATCCAACTGATTTCTGAACTTGGGGAGAGCTCCTCTGTATAGAGTGTTAAGTAGAGAAGCCTCAGAAAAACCATGATGAGGGCACTGGTTTGTATAGCTTCTAAATCTTTCTCATGCTTTCCCAACGGTCTCATTGTTGTATTGGGTAAAGCTTGAGATTTGATTTCTCAACTTGGCTGTTTTTGATGTGGAGAAGAATTTAGAGAGGAAAGTCAGCTTACATTGCTCTCATGTTTGAATAGATCCTCTAGGACAATTCGTTTCCCATTGATGAGCTTTGTCTCCCAAGCTGAAAGGAAAAAATCTTAACTTGAAGCTATCCTCTGAAACACCATTAATCTTTTTCAGATCACATAATCTTTCAAATTGATCAAGGTGCTCAAGTGGATCCTCCATAGGCAGTCCATGAAATTTTGAATTCTGCACCATATTGAGAAGTGATGCCTTTACATCGAAATTGTTGTTTTGGACTGGTGGAGCTTGGATTCCTGCTCTGTATTGATGTGCATTAGCCTTGTCATTCTCTCCAACAAAGACAAGGTTTGGCTCTTGACGCCTGGGAGGTTGTGGGTGGGGCTGTTGGTTGACCTGATGCCCTTGCTGGTTCTGGTGTCCCTAAATTTGTCTCTGATGGACCTGTGGCTGTGGAACCTGAACTCTAATCCCATGAGTTCCAATACCAACTCCCTGACCCTGAACATCTGCTTGAGCCTGATGCTCATCTCTAACTTGCTGGTGATCCATACCCAATATCTCAAGATGTGCTGCTCTTTCCCTTGCTCTTCTAGCAGCTATCTCTACCAGGTGGATATTGTCAAAGAATGGTTCAACTGGCTCACAACTTCTGCTTCTGTTCCTTGGTCTATTGGACATAAAACTTAAAATTCAACACTTGTAGGTTTAATCAGTAAAACAAAAAATAAACACTTGATCTCTAGAACAGACCAGCGACTAATGCTAAATCCACACTTTGGCAACGGTGCCAATTGATAAACAAGAGTTTATGGACTCTTAGGGTATCAGTCCCTTTTATCTATTGTAGCATAAAGAGTGTCAATTCAACAATATTGTTTAGTTCATCTTAATCCAAGCAAATAAAAAAATAATTGGTTGTGACAAGTAACAAATGGAAACTAAACAAGGCTAAAACAAGAGTAAGCAAGTGATTCAAGACAAAAAAACAAGTAAATAGCAGGATGATGATGATATGAATATGATGAAACTTAGAGCTCTAGACATGATAGTTGGCTAGGGTGGATCAGGGTTTAATCAAGGAGCTAATGACAATAATGATGAATGATCTAAGCAACTTAGGATTCAAGTCAAGTTTTAATATTTCTCAAGCACCAAAACACAATTTCAAACATTGCTCATACCCAATCATCATTAGAGACACAATGAAAGAAATGCATTAAACACCAATCCTAATGTACCATCTATGCTCAAAACAACATTTCCATGTGAATCAAACAATAGACTCTTGATTTAGTTGGTTCATACATTTCATCACACTTTTTGGGTGGATGAAATACCTAAGATATGGGTTAGAGAGATCATCTAAAACCCAGCATTAATATCAGCTAAACAAGACAGAGATGCATAAATCTAGTTCTAAACAGCCTTAATCAAACCCCTAAGCACCCTAACCTAAATATCTAGAACTCTAATGAGGTGACTTCTCACTAATCATGATTAACTCTTTGATTCCTTTGCAAAAAGAGTAGTTAAGCATGATTAGTTGATGAGAATAGATAGATGGTGGATAGATAATGATGAAAAGATTATTCAAACTTTAAAACTCTCTTGGATTAAACAGAAAATGGGAGATATTTCTCTCAAAAGGAGTCTTACACAAAAGAGGCAAAAAAATTTACGGAATGAAAGGTGAGTCTTGGGAAAAAAAACCTTAAAAACTATTTAAAAGAATCTGGTTCGGACCGGGTCAGCCCAGGACAAACTGGGTACTGACCCGGTTCATTTGGGTCATGAGGCAAGTGTGCAAGATGGTCCTGGTCCTAGCTTACCCGTACTGCCATGTCGCACTGATCCAAGTGCTTCTTCTTGCGGGTCAGTTCTTTGCTCTTCTAGCCGCACACTTATCTAGGAGCCAAATGCGAATGTTTGTGCAATTCAGGTTGTCTTTCTTTCCCACTCGCACCTACCATCTTGCAGCCTGGAGAGAGTATGTGTGCGAGATGGTTCTTCTCACCTCCCAGTCGCACAGCCATGTCACAGCCATTTGCGAGTGTTGGTGCAACATGGTTCACTTCATTTCTCACTCGCACTCCCAAGTCGTACAGCCTTGTGGACTTAGCAAAATTTGAGCCTTGGAAGTCTCTACCTTGCTCCGAGTCGCCTTACCCCCACTATTCAAGTCGCAGGTTGCTCCCAGAGTTTAAACCTTCACTGCTGCGAGTTAACCAAGTCGCACACCTGTGTTGCAGCTTTTCTCATTTCATTAGACCAACCTTTACTTGAACTGGCAGAACTCGTGGGATACTAGTCCAAATGACTCAGGACAAACTCCAGAGGGAAGGCAGCTCAATTCCCTACAACTTTCATTACATCCGAAGTGAGAAAGTCTTTCCAGTAAATGGATCTTTGCATCAGCTCGGAAGGTTCCGATTTCTTACTGCGAGACATGTCTGTTCTCCGTTTGCGAAATCTTTGACCTCGGTGATCCAAATGACTTGATTCTAATCGTTCTGGAAACATGACTCACTGCTCTCGAATCTTGATGAAGGCCTTGTAAACTGAATCGGAAGGTAAGGGCTCCGTCTTGAGTGATCTTTGAGGCACATCGGATCGGTCCGGAATGGATGCGAGACAGGTTTGTCTTCTGTTGGCCATATCATTCAGTTTACTGCTCCAAATCCATTGATTTCAACTGTTATAGAACTCTTACTCAATCCTCTTGAACTTTGCTGAAGACACTGCAGACTAGATCGGACGGGAAGGCTTTCTGGTAAAGGCATCTTTGAAGCGTGTCGGAACCTGGGAGTTTTGGCCGAGATTTTATTGACCGCGTCCTGCTATCCGCGGTACGTATTTCAGCCGATAAAAATTATTCCTGCAGCAAAAAAGTTTTGGTCGAGAGAAACTCGGTCCGGTGCATGATTTGGCCGATCCAAGCTTCCCGATAAAGGTTGTTGGCCTGTATTTTTATTTCCTGCAGTAAGCTTTTATGCCGATAACCTCCAATACCCAATTTTCACCATTTCTCCATCTTCTTTCACTATTCTTTTACCTGGTTCCATCTTTTCCACTCCAAATGACTTCCAAAGCACCTGATTGACACTCCAAACATACAAGACTCACTTGGACCTAGCTAATGCAAAGTTCTAAAACTCTAAAACAATTATAAAACATGAAGAATCTATCTAAAATGTATGAATGAGACTCAATTCTTGGACCAAAAATACATCCTAAACATGCAATGATATGAATATATAGAGTGGGCAGTTGCGCCCAGTAAAATATACAAATAAAATTATTTACATACAATTCACTGAAAATTTCACAGCTTAGTTGGCTCAAAAACTCTATCAGCGTTTAATGGAGGAAAAACGGCCGATTCCTACACGAACTTTGTGCTTTCTGAAAGTCCATACACGAACTTTTAAGTCATGCCCATACCTACACGAACTAGCTTGATTTGGTCAATTACTACAAAACCGCTTGTAATCTGGTCAATTCCCCCAAACCCGTTAACGGGGTATATATCACCGTTAATGGATGCTGACATGTGAGTATGCGTAGAAATGTTAAAAAAAAAATTATTTTTTTAAAGCTAAATAAATCCAAACGACATCGTTTTTATTGATTTACCTCATTGTCGAAACTCAGCAAAACTCGGAAATGAAATAGAATCGAGTTGACACTTCTACCACGCAATCGAAATGGACAAACTCGCGGCACCTACTCGTCTTTTTCGTCGACGGAAACCATCGCAGCTTATCTCCTCGATCCCAAATACTCGATCCCAAATCCCAAATCGCAGCTTATCTCACGAACCCTAATTTAAATTTTTTTTCCAAATTTGAGAATAATGTTTAAGTTAAAACAAAACGACGTCGTTTTGTCTCTATAATTAAAAAAAAAAAATTGGAAATCAAACCGGACCAAACCGGTATTAAACCATCCCAAATCCCAAATCGCAGCTTATTTCACAAACCCCTAATTTAGAATTTCCCCCAAATTGTAAAACGACATCGTATTGAAATTTGAGAATACGGTTTAAGTTAAAATAAAACGACGTCGTTTTGTCTCTATACTTAAAAAAAAAATATTAAAAATCAAACCAGACAAAACCGGTAATACACCTGGCTGCCACATCAGAAACCGTTGACGGACATCTCACACCGTCTGCGGTTTTATAGTAATTGACCAAATCAAGCTAGTTCGTGTAGGTATGGGCATGGCTTAAAATTTCGTGTATGAACTTTCAGCAGGCACAAAGTTCGTGTAGGAATTGGCCGTTTTCCCTTTAATGGATCATGAACAAATTCTTCCAAAATAATTTTTTTTTATATACCTCCACTCAAAAAGTTTTCTAGATCCGCTTTGGGAAGTGGTGCACCTGTGTACCATGATATTTCTAACTTTAATAACAATTATTTAGATAAATTTTGTAAGGTACAATTAAAATTTTTGCTCCTATCCTTTAGAGGTATGACTCGAGTAAAAATATAATTGTGCAGTACCTTAATATATAGGAGATAATTTTGAGTAACACTCAATCATTGGAGATTCTCGAGGGGAGACTAACAGCTCACTTACTTTTACCATCCATTTTTACTTTTTCAAGGAAGTTACCTAATGGTCTTTCTGTTTAAAGTATCCTTAACCTTCAATTAGAGCTCATATATGCGTTTTTTTAGATTGTTTCATCAAATTCTAAGTACGTGTTGCCTATTTTGCAGTAACAATGTGATTATGCGACGATCAAATGATGATATTATTTTGGAAGTCAGGATTCGATTTTGGAATCTGCTGGGTGTGTGTGAAACAGTTGATTGGGCTAGGTCCATGATTTGTTTGATACAAGTTTGCCCATTCATTTTGCTTAGACGTCTGATCGATGTTACCCAATTTCAAACATTTTGCTCGTTTTATTTTTTTATAGTTTGATTGAGTCCTCGTCCTGTTAGATGTCGCAAGGATATATATCTTAG